TAGTGAAACCTTACTGTTTACATGACATGATATTAAGAATGTATAGTGAAACCTTACTGTTTACATGACATGATATTAATAATGTATAGTGAAACCTTACTGTTCATATAACATAGTCAATGCCTACAAATTATACTACATATAATTAGATGATAATTTTTAAAATGATTCAGGATATACAATACTTACATGAAACAAGATCAAAACCTTTCTTTTCATCTGGCACTGTCTGAGTTGTGCAAAAAATACAAAATAGCTTTGATTCTACATTAACAGATGGCACAAAAAACAATATACTAAATGAATGCGTAAAACACAAACTTAGAAAGACAAAAGAATATTTCACGTCAATTACATGATAGAAAAATATAAATGATGAACCAAAGACTGGTAAATAAAATCTAAAGAAGCCTAATGTGCTTTTGACAGGTGGACCCTTCTTATTTGGGATTAAAGGAAGTAGGCAGGTTTATCTGTCAATTGCATATACCTGGAGAAAAGCTACGAAGTAAAAAATTTATTCAAACAACAAATTCCCTAATTACATATAAAGATAAATCAAGTAAAGAAGCATTTAAATTTAAATATATAAAAAATTAAAAGAACACTAATCAATTTATGGATTCACTCATGATATTCACTCATCAAGACTATCTAATACAAAGTCAGCCTAAACAATATCATATCTGAAATACAGAATATGTGGCCAGGTCAGACAGCACCTTATGTAACTTATAGGATAAATGGCCAGGTCAGACAGCATCTAGTGACATATGGGATATATGGCCAGATCAGACAGCACCTTATATAACATATGGGATATATGGCCAGGTCAGACAGCACCTTATGTGACATATGGGATATATGGCCAGATCAGACAGCAAATTATGCGAGATATTGGATTAATAGCCAGATCAGACAGCATCTTATGTAACTTATGGGATATACAGCTAAGTCAGACAGTACCTTATGTGACATATGGGATAAAGAGCCAGGTCAGACAGCATCTTATATAATATATGGGATAAATGGCCAGACATTGTTGAGGTTCAGGCAAAGCCATCCCTAATTTAGAAATATTGACAAGAGGTAGGGTAAAGAAATTAGCAGTACCTATTCCATAATATGCATATACCTGTGACTAAATGTGAGAATTATAATGTTCACACACCTGAAAATGCAGAACATTGTCCAGGTCATACTAAGGCTAAAACCTTGGACCTATCATTCTGCAGCTTAGCACACCAACAGTTAGGCCATTGCAGGCAAAGAAAAATTCACAAACAAGCACATAAGCTAGTTAATATAGTAAAATAACAATACAATAAGAAATATATAAAACAATAATAAAGTAATAATTAGATGAACCAGGTAACAAAGTAAAACAACAATAAAATAACCTCAAGCTAAACTAGATAAAACAGTAAAACAACAATACAGTAACCTTCCTTAAGTCTTTGAAACTCTACAGATATAATTATTTCATTTAATAAAGACACAAATGTTTAATACAGAAAATATCTAGTTTAAGCTATTAGCTAACACACATATTCAACATAATATGTTACTTTATACAGAGTTCTCATACAATTTTTACATTAATTTCCCTGAAAAAAATTACCTGGTGAAACCAGTCTCATTTGAGCATATTTGAATTTTCAGGATGAAGTCACCTTTAAAGCAACAACTAAATTCTATGAAGAATATCTTCTGATGTTTTCTTCTTCCATATGATTATAAAAGATTTAAAATTTTAAATTCTGTATTTCACTGTTTTGTTATTTCATGTTTCACATTATGTGACACTGAAAAATCTATTTCCCAGACAAATAGTCTGACTTTATTTCTTTGACATTTCAGGTTTGTGAGATCCATGTTCACAATAAAGATAATTTATTTGTTTCCCTAATCAATTGTTCGACTTCCTTCATTTCCCTGACATTCCAGCTTTGTGGGATCTCTGCAGTAAAAATACTTAATATCTTAGGTATGAATTAATACTTAATATGAATTAAGTCTCAAAACTTTTAGAAGAATAAATTTTGTTGAAAAAAAACATTTTCCTAAGAAATAATATGAATAAAGACTTTACACATACTTTGACTTGACAAGTGAGTAGATTCAATTTGGTAGGTGCTTTGGTTTCCTACAATAAAGAATCAATTTTTAAAAAATTTTCTCTAATCTAAGCAAGAAAAAAGTATGAAAAGAAAGTTACTGTGAGTCAATAATAAAATAGTAAAACTGAATTACATAAATGTTTAAATAACATTCTTCTTAATTTGTCCATTTTAGATTCTAAATCAGAAGTAGTAACAATCTTTGAAATGTACGAATTAAGAGGAATGTGAAAAAAACAAAAAACATCTACAGTTACAATTTCTTTTATCAGAAATTTCAGGCCTATTAGTTTCTAATGCTTCACAACTTTTGAAATTTAAGCTGCAACTTTTAAAGTATTATAATGCGTAAGTAAATAGTATTTTAGAGAAAGTATTTCTCTCACTATCCATACCAACAAATGTATTCTGATGTTGAACAAAAGGTCTCTTTGGCAGTGACTTTTGGGCACCAACATATAGATCTAAAATACCACTTTTATAGAACTCTGATTTGGAATCTAATATGGACAAAGTTATAATTTTCCTATACTGAAAAACGTATTTCTGGTAGGTATCACCTCCAATCACAAGATTAAGTATTCTCATTCAGTGTTGTCCTCTAAATGGGAACTTTTCATACCGCATGCTACAAGCCTTGCACGCCCCCATCTGTTGGAAATATCATGTTCCAACATGTCTCTCATGCAAATCATCATGTGTCATCTCTTAACCAATTGTAGCATGACATATCATGCGACTCCCTCTACACTCATCTACCAAACCTTCACTTCGAAGTTTGGCAGAAGATGCGAGCAACAGAAAATGGGGAGGAAGGGTGGAAAAGTGTGAAAGGAGGTAAGTACCTATCAGAAATACATTTTCAGTACAGGAAAATTATAACTTCCGATACAGTACTTACCTCCACTCACAAGATTAACTAGAATCCCACACTGAAAAGGAGGGACCAGTGCGAGGGAACAAAAATAGCAGCCCCTGAAAGCATCCGAAGGATACCTCTAAACACGAGAGAAATAGATATGAAGAAGGGAACTGCAATACTTTTGAACCAAGTATACTTTTCGGCCATGTGTACAGTGTGACATGCACAAGCACGGAAATATAAAGTGTAGAGTGGCAATGGCTCATCAGACAATACTCAGTAATTCAACTACATCCAAAACCTTCCCGCAGGGCTCCAACATCTACAGAAGTAAGAAATATGTTTTAAGGGACAGATGAAACAAGGAGCATGAGGAAAGTGGGTCAAATGGAAGTAAAGTGAAGTCATGGAGGACCATATTAATGTCCCAATCCGGATGGGCAGGATGCCTCAGTGGCCGTCGAATCCTTAAGAAATGCATGAGCCCAGTAAGAACAGGAGAGAAAAAAAAACCTTAAAATATCAGGAAAAATGGAAAGTATGAGATTAGAGTTGCCCGATATCCTGAAAGTAAGGATACTGAAAAACCTTGATTGAACAGCCAGGTGAGAATTCCATAACATGAGCCACAGAAGGCTTGTCAGCTGGAAATCCTCTGTTAGCAGACCAAACAGCAGAAGACTTTCCACTTATGTTGGTAGACTTCTAAGGAAAATAGTCATATGGAACTAGCTAACAAGAAGGCAACTCAACATGTAAAACCAGATCTTCTTGCCAAGGACCAGACAAAAGGCAGGCATGAAGACAGAGGATATACAAGTTTCCTGGTGATTGATCCATACCCCCCCAACCTGGAAGGGATGATAGTGTGAACAAATGTAGATCTGGATGTGGGGAAGGAAGTGGAACGCCCATTAACATATGAGTTTTGTCCAACCACCAGTGCAGATCGTCTCGCAGGGAAGGAGGAAGGAAGATGATGGTGGAAAGAGAATCTCAAGAAAATGTTTCATTAGTCATGAAGTGCCCATTGCAGGGATCTCATGTGGGCATAACCGAGAAGGATAAATGCAGTCATGTAGGACAACATCCCCAAAAACGATAGAACCTCATGAGTAGAAAGTGACCAAGTTGAGAGGGCTTGGTAAACTAAAAGTTCCATGGATCAAAGAAGTAAAGGAGAAGCCATGGCATGACTGATATTAAAGTCAAAAAAGACCTCTAGATGGACCAGGTAGTGTATGGATTGAAGGAACGGTTTCTCCAGTTTGAACAACCAGCCTGGTTGAGTTGCCACAGAAAGGAGTTGGTGGGTATGATGTCAGACACTGGCACACCATGGGATCCAGAGGAAAAGAAAGGAAAAAAGGCAAGGAAAAAGAGGAGGAGGGGAAAGAAACTGGAGACAAATTCTTCTGACAGAACCCATATCACCCATTGATCCTCAACAAAGGGACACCAGTAAGGAAGAAAGTCCAACAGTCAAGCTCCTAACGGCCCTGAATGACAGGGTAGTCACAGGTACTGTTGGCGACAGTTGTTTTGTCGTCAAGATAATCAATGAAAAGAAGTGCCCCAACTAGTAGGAATGGATAAGGGTTAAGAGAATGAAGGCCAGGAGATGGGAATAGGGGGATATGAGGCTCTGACTGAGACAAATGGGTGACAAAGGATGTGAGGGTAGATTGCTGACAGGCTGATGTAATCCGAGGCTCGATAGTTTTTGGGACAGTAACAAAGACATGATGTTGCAAAAATGGAGCAAGATTAAGTCCTGTAGATACGGAAAGTGTACACTGACTCGGTCCAATACAGCATCCCTACCAATAAGGTCCCAACAGCAAAGAAACTACATGTGTAACATCATACCCGAGGAAGAAATGCAGGCTTATGTGAAAGGGAGAATGTGCAAGGTATCTGCAGAAAACCCCTCAAGATTTCTGTGGAGTGCCTCAGAAGGGAGATATATGGGTGGTTAGGGTAAGATGAAGGTAAGAACATTGGGCATAGGGAAGACTAACATTATAATTGGGAGCCACCTCCCAAAGAAGTAACAACGAACCCAACAACTGCTGATCCAAAAGTGGATAGTCAGCATGATGGTATGAAAGGGCGTGTTGATCTGAGGGCTGCAGGGGCACAGCAGGCTGCTCCCCTCACTTGTATCCCATTATCTGGGAGGGAGGAAAAACCAAAATGGTTGAGAAGAGGTTTGATGTAATAAAGAAGATTGAAGGAATAAGATATAAGGGAAAGGGATAACACATCACAAACATGAGACACAAAAACCATGAAGGCCGAATTACGCCTAGATGATCCCTCAGGTAGCAAGTAGGAAGAAATGGCAAACTCAGGAGGTGAGAAAAGGTGATCAAAATCCTTGTCATTCTGCAGAATTTCCACTGATTCAAGAGGACCCTGGACAATGTCAGGGGACAAAGTTTGATCCAAGTAGCATTCAATCTCCTAATGTATAAAAGAAGAAAGATCTACCATTGGGTCGTCCACACCTGAGGCCTGAGAAACAACATTAGTTGTTGGTGTGACTCCCGAAGCGATAACATGAACTTCAGAATTCATAATGCAAAACAGAACTCACAAGTGATCAAATTTTGTGGAAATAGATAGTGACAAATTGATCTGGGTTATAGCAGAAAAGAAATTAAAAGTTCACAAAGAAACCACTTTTGGCAGGGGAAAAAACGTTCTGTCGTCACAAGGTAGTACTAGCATAAAAAAAACGTCTGAACTCGAACGCTACCAAATGAGAAGTGAAGGTTTGGTAGAAGAGTGTAGAGGGAGTCACGTACTTCATGTGAGCATGTCATGCTACTACTAGTTAAGAAATGATGCATGATGATTTGCATGAGAGACATGTTGGAACATGATATTTCCAAGAGAGGGGTGTGCAAAGTTTGTGGCATGCGTTATGAAATGTTCGCATATAGAGAGCAGCATTGAACGAGAATAGCTAATCTTGTAAGTAGAGGTAAGTACCATATCGGAGTTATGAGAAATTTTAAAAAAAAACTGTTAATGCAATATTTAGTCTAACAAGCTGTGTGTGCATTAAAAATGCCAATTAGACAGTGAAAAATGTCTAGTTAGAAAAACACGATGACAGAAATATTCTGGATATAGTTATTGTTTACCCAATAAAATTTGTGCAAAAACATAAAAAGACCCAATTAACCCGATGACTACCGGTTACTAACTTTCTTAGTAGGCAATGCAAGTCTTGCTATATTTCATTCCAAAAATAAAACTAGTGGACAAATATTTTCGAAAACTCATAAATACTTTGACAAATGTAGGTAGTTTAAGAAACATAAAGCCTATTACTTTTAATAAATTTAGTTTTTTTGAATTATGATCTTTAATATCTTGGAAAATTACATTAGGAAATCATACTTATAAGAAATGATTACAATATTTATATTTGCTACAGATTTGAATGTATTACTTTTAATGTTTTAGTACATTATTTTGAAATCCCCAAAAAATTGTATCCTCCATAAAATGCGAATTTTATCTATTTTTAATTTTTTTAAAGTTTACGGACAATGTACAAAGTTCACGCTGCTGACCCCACGGTTTATTCGGCACAATAAACACAAAAGTACGACTGCAATGAAACATAAACATAAATTTGAAATAAAAATATATTTATGAAACAAAATTAAAATGTTTTTATGTACATATATAAACATGAAATCCTAGTTAAAAATAAAAATACTCATTTATTGTTTAGGTTTATTTACAAATATTATTTATGGGTCTGTATATTACTTGAAACCATAAGATGAAAACGTGATTAATTGTGCCGAATAAACCGTGGGGTCAACAGCGTGAACTTTGTACGTTGTCTGTAAACTATCTCACCCTTTTTGGTGGTCACTTTCGTTCAACTGAGCGCGAACGCGTGCACATTTGAATGTTACTGTAGATATGATAGTAAGAAAGCTTTTTGGTACTAGAATATCATTTCTTTGAACTTTCAAACAAGTT